ATACGGTAGATAGGATCAGGGGTTTGGGGGGGGGGGGCACATTTTCCAAAATTTCCACATTTGATCAAAACTAATTAAATATACATTTCTAAATATTTATTAATTAAAGCAGTATTTCTTGGCTTTAATTTATGATGGTTTAAAAATTGCAAAAATGAATAATGAATTGCAATCTAAAGAGAATCATCACTTATGCCTATATATCTTTTTGTCGCCTTGCTTTTGATATTGGGGTCAAATTTGACCTGATGTGTAATTGTGAGATTCACCCGTATATGATGGTAAAAAGACTCATATACACAGAATTATAGACAACAACAATAATAATAATAATAATGAATAACAAATATGAACTAGACAAACATGTGCAAACTCCTGCACTAATCCAAGTAAACGTGACGATTGTTATTTAATGCAGTAGTGTTGAACAGTGCTTTCACATTGACACAGACACACGTTTGATCAGACGCGGTGAAATCGACCGTCCTTGCATTGTTTACCAGTTTAATTCAAATTAGATATAATATTTGGTATCAACAAAACATAAATCACAATTAAAAACCCCTAAATTCAAGCCTAGAGGCAGAACGATACAATCGTGGTCATGATTCACGTACGGATGCTGATGCACAACACGTTCTCATGCTAATATGTCTTCCTTCCTCAAGAAAGTTTATATTAAATATTATAGTCATTTAAATATAATAATGGTAAGTCTGATATAAAATAAATGGCTAAATATTAAAAGTGTTTATTATCGCATGCTTAAGAGCTTATATAAAGTTGATTTTTTTCATTGGTCCACACGTCAATGGAAAACCAAAACCAATTCATTTTCAAGTTCAAGAGCTCATAAATGTACCAAATAATAATTAATAATCACGTGACTGTGGCTGCAGACCGTAAACACCACAGACCAACGAAAAACATTTGGTCCAACCCAATCTTCAATATTTGGTTTCATTTGTGGTTTAAAGGATTCGGTATTGCTAAAGCTAATGTGTTCTAACTACAAAAATCACATCGAGTTGAAAGAAAAGCTGAAAAACAAACGAACGGAAGCCAAGCGGGACGTGACGCGCGATCAACTCTTTGCATATTGTTCATCCAGTGTCACAACACATGATATGCTTCATCATAGCTGTAAAAACCCGCCAATCACCTCATCCAGCCAATCCAGTGTGCTTGGGCGGGGCCTGAGGCTCCGCCTCCTTCATCGACGCACAGGAAATGAAGGCAATGACAGGACAGACACACAGGTTATTATTATTAGAAGGGTTTTCTTCTGTTAGGCCAGCTAACACTAACGAGTTCAGTCAGTTTTGGAAGCGCCGCAGACTTGAAGAGAAAGATCGAGAGAGTCTGGAAAATTCAGTGCAAGACATAATGGCTACTTGAAATTAGTAAGAATCATCATTATTTGTTTAGGGATATCCAATACTGGACGACAGCAGTAAAGACAAGTAAAACCGCCTCCAGTGAACCTCTGAACCGCCACAGTGCAAAACCAGAGCCAGGTTTTGGTCTGGTTTGTTGTGGTCTCTCTAGCTCCTGGGGTCTGAGCCGTGTTTCTGTGGCGTTTGTGAGCTCAGTGACGTGTGTGGCTCCTGCAGGGAGAAGCGTCGGTGGATGTCGGGGTCGGGCTCCAGCTCCAGTCGGGCCCCGAGGCTGGAGAATCCGGGTCGAGTAGCGGCGCTGACCGCTGGATGGAGCTCCGCGGAGCTGCTGAGAAACTCACAGGACTGCAGGAGAAAACAGAGCAGAGATGCTGCTGCTGTCACACTGTTTGCAAACCTGAGTAGTGTTCATACATTAGCACCAGAACTATAGTAGCTGTTTGCCCAGCCAAAACTTTAAATAGAATCAAAGATAAAATAAAAAATATAACTTCATATATATTACAAAAAAGCAACAAACAAAAAACAACAACAACAAAAAACAAATAAATATAAATTACACAAAATGTTTGAATATGTTAGAATATTTATAATATTATGTATATTTTAATTGTAGATTAATTTAATATGGAACATATAACATTTAGAATTTAATATGAAATAATATTATATTTTACTTCTGTATATATTGCGCACACACACAAACACAGATATAAAATGCAATAAATAAATAAATATAAAATATAAAATCTAAATGATATAGAAATTAATTCAAATGTTTTTTGTTTATTTCAAAAATTTATTCAAGGCCTTTATTAGGTGGTAGCAGCTCCTGATGGACTAAATGAAAAGAAAACTGTGAGTAGTAAACTATATATATATATAAGTGCTGTCAAACGATTAATCGTGATTAATAGCATCCAAAATAAAAGTTTTTGTTTGCATAATATATGTGTGTGTACTGTGTTTATTTATTATGTATATATAAATACACACACATACAGTATATATTTTGAAAATATTTACATGTATATACATTTATATTATTAT